TTAAAAATAAAATTATTACTTTATAATTAGAATATTTAGTTATTATATATTATTTTATTTAAAAATATATGATATTTAAAAAAGATTCAAATTAAAACAATATATTATTTTATTAGATACCGTTATTTTTTATATAATAAATATTTGTAAAATACTTTAAAAAAAAATCCAAAATAATAAAAAAGAATATTTTAAAGAATAATTTTTAAAACTCATGACCTATATAATTATTGATAATTATATATTTTATAATAAAAATATGATAAGCTTATATCATACTTAATATATGTTGACTTACAAGATAACATATTAAAAAAAGATGAATTGGAATTCCATACTTATTAGAAATACAATCTGTTAATGTAATGTCGTGCGGATTTATAATTTAATAACAAATTGTTATCATTATCTTTAAAAAAGTCAATTGATATGTAGCTTTAAATCATCTTATTTTTTCTTTGCTGTAAGTATAAATATATATTTACTATATAGACGGTATTTAATTTAATTTAATTTAATTTATTGTATGAAATGTTTTTATTATCACCCCATTAGGTTCAATAAAGATAAAAAAGAAATTTAATCAATCAGATTGTTTAAATTAAAAACAAAAAAAAAAAAAAATTAAAAATGATATAGAAATTAGGTCGAATGGGTTAGAATGACAAAGGGATGTTGATTTGATGCGCAGATTGCATATTTGCATTAAACCATTTATGAGGAAATCCTTACTGAATGCTAAATAAAAGATGAAAATGGTGTAGACAAATACGACTATGTGTTAATGCTATCGTGAAATAAAGTAAAACGCGCTATTAACGCGCAACACCAAAAATGCAATGACGTGCAACGACGCCACCTAAAAAAACCTACGTCAATAACATCAAGGAATTCTACGGGTAGATCACGATTTACGAGTTGAAGCGAGTGTGCATGCGTCTGATGTGTTGAATAGGTATTACCAAATCGCATGCAATAATCTCAATTGCCATCATATTGTCATGAGAAATTTCACCAATTAAAATGAACGCAGGACCTCAAGGTGTTAGGCTAAAAGTGGAGAAATTGATTTTTTTTTTTTACGTTCATAAAAAAAGACTTGGATAGATGTTACGACGAATAAACATAAATAATGTAATTCGAAGTCGAACCAAAGAACATCCGTAAAGGGAAACATGTTGATTGATATGTGTGCATGGATTCTTTCCCTTTTTCTTCTCGGTTCACTGTTCGTGTCATCCATTCGTGGTCCAATGCCTTTCGTCTCAAGAAGGTTCGCCGTCACACGTACAATACATGCAATATGAATACATGATAATAGGATGCATGCGTATTCAAACCTTGGATGACAATGCTGTTGCCTCACGATAAATCCAGAACAACAACCAATTTGGCAGTATCACCGTAGGACGATCGAAAATCAGACCTTTTCACAGGAATGAATGAAACAAGCATTATTTATTAGCAAAGAAAAAAAAAAGCGTAGGTGAATAGGAACGCAAATAAATATAATGTATAGATGAACAATTAATCAAAACAAATAAAATAAAATTACTCCAATTAAATCTCTGCGATCAAATAAGAATAAATTGCTCACCAATACATAGGCTAGCAACAATTGCCAAGTGTTTTTGACCGATTTCATAAATGAATAAGGGTTCAGGTGTTACATGTTCCATGACCACGCATTAGCCAGAGTAGTTGCGTTGGATGAATAATCCGACCTGAACGACGGGGAAAAAAACCATACTTGTGATCTTTTTTTTCGTGTTGACGATGAATTGATTCGAGAAAAAAAAGAACAAAAGAAAAAGAAAAACGTACACGAAACATCCTCGAATTCTTTTGTATTCAATTACGTGCACTCAAACACCTTTGTGTTTATTAACCCTGTGAACATCTAATGCGTGGGATATTATTATTTTTTTTAGAATGAACCTAAATTTGAGAAATAAGTAATGTGAACGTGCACCAAACACGATTTTGCTCAGGTCACATTCTTGTGCCATGATAATGTTAGTCAAAGGGTTTTTGTTTTTCGTCTTTCTTTTGATGATTTATTGCGATGACTAAGAGATCGCACAAACCACAATACCTATCATCCTTCCGGACATATTCCTCCTTGAGGCACAAAAGGAAAACACACACCCTTATTATTCTTCGACTCATCATCTCCTTTGCTCAATCGGGGATATTGTTTACAAATGAACTGACAAACATGAACACTGGTTAATTAATACCATTAATCAGTCTGGTCTCTTGATACATGATTAATTTGAACCACCGTCTCGAGCTGACACAGATGTCAAAGATAAAGCGACATACGTATCTCGGATAATCGTATCATCGTTCGTTATCACCATTACCATTTTCCAATGGCGGGAATTTCACATGCATGCGAAGTGAATGCGTGTCGTACGCACATAACAGCGAGTTTTCTTTTCACCCTCCAAGGCTAGCAAACCTCTAATCTACACGCGTTTCGCTCCTGTTTCGGCCTTGTTTCGGCGAGAAACGTAAACATGTCATGAGCCAACACCGCGGTTATAACAATAATTCCGGTCGGTGCATGTGCGAATGCGAATGCGTAACATCATAATTTCGCGTCCCGATCCGCCTCTTATTAGAAGTTTCTGAGGGGGTTTCAGGGAGCAATAACAATAATTTCAGCCGACCGATGTAACAAGAATAACAAGAATGCTTAAATTAACCAACCAACCAATCGAATAAGATGAAAAATAAGAGATGAAGTTCATCTGCCGCCGTTTGTTTACTCCGTTTTACTAATGTATGCATGCTAGGCAACGGAAGGGAAGAACCTTTTGAATAAATATTTTGATTTACACAAAACAGTGATCAATGCCAACGACCGAAAAGGAGCAATTACAACTGAAACTGTACATGATCTTTTCCTTGTAAAAAGGGCATCGCTCATCCCAGGGACAACGTCAAATCCCCGAATCATTGGGGGCTTTGTGCACATGACCTTGGAATTATTAATTGTTCATTAAATCGTTTGGCGAGATGCCGTGTGTTCACTTGCCGTTTAATTAACTTTACCGAATCACACCGATGAAACCCCTCGGCACTTGTTATTGGACAATTTTACCATACAACCACAGTATTTATTCTATTTACAACTCACATCAACACCATTACGTGTGCACTCCCATTTCGAATGTTTTTTCGTGCTTCTCTGACGCCATTTACGGTTCACGGGACCTAGGCATTTTTCTTACCATTCACCATATCGCGGTCATACCCTTTGCTTATTTCATTGTGGCATCGAGCCTCCCTTTGAATCCACCGTTACACCTTTCTCGATATAATCTAATCAAGCTTTGACACCAGTTCATGCGTCGTCATTTTTCCTTTCATGGATTCCCTCATAATTCATTAGCCTATGACGACACCTTGTATTCAGCAAAACAAAACTTTAATGATTTCATGTGAATCACCGGAAATAATCAATCTAGTTAATTTTCGGATCAAATTCCTCCTTCAACCATTAGTTTGTGCTACGAGGTTTTTTAAGGTTTTTTTTTTTTAGCAAGCACACGGTGCACAGAACAGAATAGATTATGCGTCTCTTGCAGAATGTGCTCTGTGCCAATGCAAAATTCGATACACCAATGAAGAGCAGGGTCAAAGTGGTATGATGAAGAATTCATTAAGAATCCCGGGTTAACTTTTGCGAGAATGAGGCCTCCTTCATGGATTGCCCTTATCTCACACGTGCATGCACGTGTGTATATAACACACGATATGTGATAACTAATAGAAATTCAAATTATTAATCACAAATATTTACCTCAATTAATTTTTTATTAAATACCTAGTCGTCGCGATAGCCGTTGTTAACTTGTATCATGACAAGAAAAACAAAACCGGATGTTACACTCGAAGTCCTTATTATGAAGTAAACAAAATGTAAACAGATGGTGATGATGATGTGCAATGTTTTTGATTAATTATCGAAAAAAATGAAATTTCGATACATCCACCCAATCCTCTCTTTATTTACAATTAAATATTAAGGGAGTGACCGGATATCAGGATAAGGTAAGCAAATGTTTATCGACACGAAGCGAATGCGAATGGCGCGACCATATTTCACTAACGAATAAGATCGGCGACGTGGCGTTTTACGACCGAGCAGCAGCCGACCTCTAATTGTTGAAAGTTGTTCTTGCAACGCACGCACGATCCGGGAATCTGCATGCGATCCTTTCTTTCTTTCTTTCTTTCTTTCTTTCTTTCATTTATTACGAGATTAAAACGTTGACCACTACTACTACTACTACTACTGCTTACTACTCAAGGGCGTATTTTCCGTGAGCACGCATCGCGCATGCCAATGCATAATGAAGACAATGAACGATGCTGACGTGCGGTGTGGTAAGCACAGCCGACCATTGACCAAGGAGATAGTGGCGAAGTTGATGCTGAGACCAAATTGCGTGTTGATTATCATCAACTGATTCGCGACCACATCCTTTGATCAGCATTGCGCAAAGTTTTCTTTTTTTTTTTTTGTGATAAGGTTCAATTCCAATCGATAAGATTCTTTACATACTTTATTTATTATTGACAAGACGGTGGTGACACATCATCCATCAATCATTAAATACACATACGTACTGTACCTGCTGTAGCACCACATCCTATTGTAGCACAACATTGCCATGATTCGGTGGTGGCTGGTGCCCAAAGAAATTTTTAACGAATGTAACACCAACCTAATAATGGTGTGATGTATCATTTATGTACTTTAATACTCAGTATCATCGCACGATCGTCATTCTTGTAATACATTTAAAGGGAATTCATTGGTCAAGGAACTATCAATACTAAAGTTAGGTGTTAGAAAACTGAACTACATTAATCGCATATGAAATACGAGAAGCTACACTATTCTTATTTGAAACGCACTCATAATCGAGGAGTTTCGCGTACATCTGCGTATTAATAAAAAAAAAAAAGGAAGAAAGAAAGGGATTTCAAGGATAATGGAAATATTTTAGGATTCTGCGTCTTATTTTCATATCCGTCATTATCGCCAGAAGCGTCGACGGCATGATGTGAATCCTCTGATTTTAATACGTACGTGTACGCCCTTAAAAAATTTGATAAAGTCTGCAAAAGAAAAGAAGAAACTCATTCCGAAACTTTTCCTCGGGATCCTTAAAACGCGCTTGCTTAATCAACCTGAGTATCACAATAATTGAGGACCCCTAAAAATAGTCATGATCTAAAAAATTTTCCCGATGATCATTTCCACAATCACAGTTTAAATTTTACCTTGAAAATTCGTTTTTTTATAATCTCGCACGAATAGCGGTGGCACGAATAATGGTGATTAAGGGGTCTTTGCGGTAAGAGAAAATACAGGAATGGTAGAATGATTCCAAATATGGTCTTGGGTTTGGTTAAAAAAGAGATTTCGCGTCTTCCTCCGCGTCCTCTGCTTCGTCTCCACTTCCTTATCAGGAACTTGAGAGGTTTTAGATCACCCTTTGAACATTTAATCACGAGCTTCTTCCTATCATATTGACCGTCCATCATCATTCAACCGACCGACCACCTTTCTCTTTTTGATAATATATTCCTCACGAATTACCTGGTGAATGAGGCTGTCGCGTGGTCCTCATAACCCCGCAATTTAGCGTCAATGCGATCTGCTTTTGAATGACGGTCTCGCTCAATGAACATCTCCACGTGTCTCCGCGCGCGCATGGGTAGATTCCATCGACGACCAATCAAAATCCTTGGGAATGTATCGTCAAAGTTTCACGTTAGTTGACATTGATTACAAACTAATTTGGGAATCCATTCGCTTTCAACAGATCACATACTACTGTATTTCAGATTAAAGGTGAACTTGATCACTATGCCAAAATTGATTCTTACGTGATTCACGATATACTATTGGATTCTATAATCGAGATCATTCATCGGATCACCGAGTGTATGAGTACCTACCTACCTACCCACCCACCTGGATGCATCAGTAAAGGAGTGTGATGGATGGATGAAAGATTGGAAAGGAGAACGCGTGAATTGGGAATCATTCAGGAATGATCGAACTGGTCGTAAGTCTTCGAAGGTTTCCATTCATTCATTGGAAAGATGGTAAGGATCACGACGACTAAAGCGAGATCATCACTCTCAATCTAGGAATGCACGTGGATGTTGAGAACATCCTTCTCTTCCTTTCTTTTTGAGAGAAACACGCCAAATCGAGATAGTGTCAAGCTCATTCGGACGGAGGGTTGAAATCCCAAACTTGGGATGAAACCGATTCAAATGAGAAATGTCATTAAAAAAAAGGTGATTACAGTAGAAGGCGAAACTTCAAAGGACTGACACACTAGGTGTGAAAAAGGACAAATCAATCTCTGGTATAATAGAGACGAAAATTAAAACCCGAACATCGGGGAAACCCGATTTATTGACATAAAAAAGCGTACATGGTAATAATAATAAATGTCGCATCACCGAATTTTCATTCTCATATTAGAATCACGAACTCATTTAAAGATTTATACTGCATTTCGATTTCCGGCCTCTTTTCTTTTTTTTACCATGACTTTCAAAATAAAGAAAAAGTGAGGATCACTGCTTCGTGCGAAACCGATCCTTACGTAATGAAATAAAGAACGAGAAACAGGGTAATCCCTTTGTATAAAATTAGACGATCAATGATACCACGAAAATGGAAGACAATCTTCTTTGAAAAAAAAAAGATAGTCCTGTGCATGTGTGAGTATAAAGACTGAGTAAAAAGACATGCACATAAGAGGTAAATAATGCAAATAATGTCAATCCCTTTCAAAACAATTCTGATATTAATCATACAGAAAAGCGGGCGGACATATTGGTAGCTAAACAGATTTATTTCTTCATGAGATTATTGATTTTCAGCCTATAATAGGTTTGTGCGCTGAAGATTCTCGATTTTTAATGGACACAATTTTGACGATCAATCGTTCACCGCCGGCTGCTAAAGAACGCACCTTACTTACCCTGTGTGCCACCACCGAACATCCCCGATGTACTTTATGATTTAAGAAAAACCTAAGAAAAAGTTAAGAAAACAGAGAAAATCCACCACGGATTTTTATTTCCCAATATTGGTGCCTTTCCTTCTTAGTTGCATGCAATGCTGATTCCATTCTGTTTCATTTGTTCCTTTTATGGGAATTCGGATGGCTTCGAGCCTTTTCGGCATATTGTCAATTCATACGAATCTCTGGTGTTATACCTACCTTTGTATGGTAGCAATAAAGAAGAGGTACATGGCTCTTCGGAATCAACTTTATTGTTGTTAATCTCGTAACTACGCATGTCCAATATCATCATCGTCGTCTCGAACCTTAACCGCATCCGGTTAGCGGCAAGCTGATACAGTTTTCAATCTTTATACAGTATACAGTATATAGTGTGTAGTATAGTGTGTATGCGTATGAGTGTTAATATGCTTCGCACCTCCTTTTCATGCGCACGCATACAAACAACATATGTGCGTGCGTACAACTTTCCTTCTATTGCAAACTATTCAGCAGATTAACCTAGTGCATGATTTTGCAGACACCAGGCAAAGCTTGGCGAAATGTTGATGATGAAACGAACGATATGGTCTCGACGAAATGCATCAATTTATTCCTAGCTCCGGTTTATCCGATTGTCTGCCAGGATCTCACCTTGTGTCCAATGCTTCTATGGGTCACCCAAGATTTCGGTGAAACGTGTTTGAAGAACTTTGTTATTCTCGAGTCAGTAGTCAGTCAGTCAGTCCACTCAACCAACCACTTTTTAATAGGTAAGATGTAATGATGGGTTTAAGATCTCCTCTTTTTTTTAATTATCCGATGCTGATTGATGAACGGGGAGATCATAACGCCCTTCTGAATAACTTATAAAAGGTTAAGGAGATCAGGAGAATGGATAAGGATAAGAGCATAATAAGTTAAACCATGTAATTAAGGTGACAAACCATCGCAGGCAGACGATTAAATTGCGTTACATCCCAAAGGTTGCACATAATTCATCAGTGAGCAAAACCTATCACATTTCGTGTCACCACCGAAAACAGCAGAGGGTTATAGACAACAAAGACGTCAGTGTTCATATTGTAATTGGTTATCGAAAGTCGCCTAGCGTTCATTTCGGTAGGTTAAGAAAATAATACTGCCCGTCATCGTCAGACTGTTGTACATTGGTGATTACATTGAGATTTTTCTTTTTTCTTCGGTACCACCGGTTCCATAATTGGGATCATAATAAGAAAATGCCTACTTACATTAAAATTCTTTATACTGTATATTTATATTTCATATACTTTTTCGGTGACGCAAATACCCGGCTTGATTGGGATTCTTTAGGAATTCTTTTTATGCGGACACGGATTCCAATGGCTCCTTTTTTGCATTATGCCAGCCCATAATTGGAAGCGAAATGTGCGAAGGAACGTTGAATGAACTTCGGTAATGACAATGTGACCACGTTATTATAACAAGCCAATATATTCTGTCGTTGTTGTTGTGTCAGAATGGTTGATGCAGGTGTGAATTTATGTTTATATTGGGAATTCAAAGAGAAAAAGGTTTAATTAATGGAGTCGTGTCAAATAGAGTGTGGCGCCGTGCGTTCTCACCAATGAAGTCCATTTTTAGATGGCGCACGCCACACTCACTTTGACATCATCACATGATGATCTGAAGAAGAAGAAGAAAGGTGCCATCGAAGGGAGCGTAAGTAAAAGAAGATTGTGTGAAGAGAAAGGACAATGTGTACCGTGTTTCAATGAGGACTAGGCTAACAAGGGGAGGAAGGAAGGAAGGAAGGATGAACAACAATTTCTTTTTTTGAAATAATGGTGTGAAAATGAATGAGCGAATGTGATTGCTCGGAGCATTTGGGCGCGGAGGAGTTGATTGAAGCAACAAAAGGGCCACCTGTCGCCTGATGTAAATGATTGAGGTGTAAATTTCGTAATTTCGGTGTTTTCAAATGCCATGCACGTTGGGTGACATCAACTTGTAAAGTTGCCGGTAAGTCCTGCGTCGATTTTCTATAAAAGATTTCTATGGCATGCAACATTTCTGGTTTATGTAGGGTTGACGCGACGAAAATAGTACGTTGCGGCACAGTCACAAACTGCTAAACAGGTACTCGAATACCGTATGCCGTATTGGCCACAAGCTTCTTACACCATATTAGCCATACCACCTGTCCACTATAAATGGTCATGTCGATAATATATGATAATGCGATGATTAATTAACTATTATGTCATGATTCTTCGGTAAAATATCGGAAAGGATGCGGTGTTTACCATACACGTTTATTAAAATGTGTGATAAGGAGAGTAAGTCAGAAATGACACAATATTAATGTGCTCATATTAATTAACCAAACATTTCTGACCACTGTCCGATCACGGCGCTTGGCATTAGACATAATCAGCCCAATGCAATTTTTTATTTATATAATTACCACTGTGAGATGGAGGGTACGTATGCAAAATATTTTGATTGACAAAGGCGGAACCACCGTTCCCAAGTCACGGCAAAGAAGGACACTGTATTGACTGCAATAAAAGAAGAAATTGTGCGCATCGACTCATCGGTGGGAGGTGATAGGTGACTGGGCGGAAGGATTGTTGATATTCATCATTATTATTGTTGTTGTTGTTGTCGTTGGTTCCTGAAATGTATGGGTGATTCAACGTACGTACGCCTGTTGATTTTATAAATAATATAAGGATTGTTGACTGATTGTAAAGATTGTAGCGAGTCATCAACAAAAAGGAGGTGTTGGGTTGTTTTCCTCGAAAGTGCAAATTATGCGTTCATCCGACGTTAGTGTGTTATGTGTGAACATCAAGTATCACCGACCGACCATAAGAAAATTTCAGCATGCATAATACCCTTTTTTCTTTCACGGTATTAGTTTAACAATTAACGGAAAAATGCCCAAAAGATTACTCAAAAAGAGAACAATCCATGTGCTGACGGGCACACACGTTTCGGAAAAAAAAAATTAAACTACCACATCGGTTAGGTTTGTCACATGACGCATCAAGCTAGCGTTGTGTGTGTGGGTAGCCTTATACGTTGGGATTCCAAAAGTCAATCAAAGTCAGGGGTGGGAAAAACAAATGAATGAGATGAAAAGTGAAATGACGCAAACCCGACGAACAATCACTTGCACAACCAAAGATTCGAGCAAACATTGAGGAAAAAAAAAAAAAACTTATTGTAATATAATTCATGTTTGATATTAATTTTTTAGGTATCATTTAAAAAAAAATCATTACATAGAAATTAAGGAAAAAATAGATTTGAATAAAACCTAAAATCTAGTAACTATAATAACATAATTCTACATACCGTAAATTGTAGTCTATAAAATGCATAATAAAAAAATATATTTGATTTTAAATAAAATTTTAACTCTTTTAATTTAATTATAAATTTCAATTAAATTGAATTTTCCAAATATCAATCAATGAAAAAATTTTAAATTAATCAATTAATATGTAATTAAAATTATATTTGATTTCATATAATATTAAATTTAATAATATAAATTGATTTAATATTTTATTTTTTTTTATAAATATTAATAAAAATCAAATAATTATTAAATTTGAATAAATTAAAAATGAAGATTTTATATTATTTTAAAATTGCAAATTTATATTAAAATAATAATTTAAATATAATTAAAAGTTTTTATATAATAATATGAATATGATTTTGAAATAAATATATATTTTATTTTTTATAATCATATTTATTCCTTAAATTATAATGTAGGCAAATTTGTTACCATATTTAAAATTTAAAATTTAAAATTTTATAATTTACTTATATTATAAAAAATATGATTAAGATATTCTTAATTAATTTATTAAATAAAAAATTAAAATTTTATTAGAAATTTTTAAAATAATAATATTAAATTTTGTGTTTAAAATTTTAATATAAAAAATTATATAAAACTTTTAATATATTTAAAATAAATTTTACTTTTAATATAAGTTAAAATTATAATAGCTAAATTTATTTTTTACAAATAATTTTATAAAACTACTTATAAATTATATAAACTTTAACTTAAAAATTTTTTTAAATTAGTCTAAGATTATTTTATATTAAAAATATTTATAATTAAATTTTAAAATTTTATTAAATAAATAAAAATTAAATACCATTAATAAATAATATATAATTAAAATCAATATTATATAAATTTTTAGAAAAATATTTTGATTATTTAAAAAAAATAAATGAAAAGCAATTTTTTAATCCAAAAATTTTTAAACAATAAAATAATATTATATAAATTAATTAAAAATAAATGTATATATAATATTAAAAATAATTGATAAAAAATCAAAAAAATTATACATATAAAGATATTGATATATAAAGTAATAATTAAATGTATTAATATAAAAATTAAAATATATTATTGTTATAAACATAATAATGTTAATATGTAAATTTAAAATTTAATTTAAATCAAAAAAATTTTTTATTTTCATATTTTATTTACTTTTATAGTGTCTATTAATATAGAATAATAATACTGCAAACAATTATACTTACTGTATTTCCTCTTTTTTTCTTTTCTTTTTTTTAAAAAAAAAAGCTTCCGAGACGTCGAAACGGTTACGTGAAATTTCCTAAACCTTGAGGATTTTACGTAGCCATTACGTGTAGACTTCACAGAGAGCACCTTTCGTCGGGATTACGTCGGGTTTTCACGTGATACGCGCTGGGTATTGTTATTATTTATACGTGAGAGTTCTTGATAGTGTGGGTCGCACAAGCAATTAGCAAAAGGTAAACATGGCATGATTCCTTTCATTCAATGTTTATATTATTATTATGCAATCAAGCAAGCATTTTTTTTTTTCACATTTCAAATAGCATTCATTAATAGAGATGAAGATATCATGTGGAACTGAAAAAAAAAAAAAGAAAAGTTCGGCATTCCGAGTATGGAAGGAAAAATATTTACAAAATATCTGTTAATTAGTTGAAATTCACAACGTACGTACGTGCACACACCTTAAAACATATAAATTACAACAGTAAATCACAAGGCGGATAAATGATAGGTGTGATGTATGTATAATCGACCTGTGCGCAAAGTAAAATGTAATATGGAACTGATGAAACATTTTCTCTAGCGCACGCAAGCCCGAAGGGAGGATGTGCGCTAATTGGACAAAAAGGGTTCTCGATTATCACAAATTGCGGGGAATTGTTAATTCTCGGTCAAACTCTTAATAAAAAAAAATGGAGATACTATGCCAATGAGGAAATAACATGGTGTTTATGATCAGGTAATATGTATAAATAGTCAACCACGTAAAGGTGAAACCGAGCCTTTAATCTTTTTTAGACCGATGTGTGTATGTGTCACATGTAAATTTGCAACCTTATCAAAATATTATTTTCACAATACCACCTGCAATTATGGTATGTTGTATACGCTAACAAACAACGACAAATAAATTTTCTTATTCTTTTTCCATGATGAAAAAGAAGGATGCGCGTGTAATTCAATTCATGCTGTGCCCTACCCTTCAGTGTATGTGTCTGTTAACAATTGATGGGCGCGGAATGAGAAAAAAAGAAAAGGAACCAAGGGAGATAATAACAATAACAATAATAGTTGACTAATCCCTACACAGTATGACAATATGTTACGGGGAGGCGAACAGGCTTATTGTCCAATCTCGTTCTAACAAAGTGAGAGAAGAAGGAAAATTTTTTAGCAAGGAAATGAGAATGAGCGAATGAGGAGGGGTGGTGATGGTGGCGGTGATGACGGTGGTGGTGGTGAATTATTATTGTCATTCAGATGAACTTGTCGGGAAAACTAAATGGACTACTAATTGAAATCACGCACAGAGATGGCAATGAGGAAAAAGGAAAGCATGAATAATTTGGGACTGAAATGATGACGATATGCAACTGTGCCAGAGTATGTAAAACCAGCTCATTGACCCTTAAACTTCGTTTATAAATCGATTCTATTATAGATTAATGACCCGTTAATATATCACGATTCTCAAACCTACTCTTATTATTGATTATTTATAATCATATATAATCTTCACAATCGGCGTCACACATCCGTAATCGTCACGACATGTATGAATGACATCAAAGTTTTTTTTTGCGGCTAAAAAATTACCGTGGATACCATTTAATCTCTTGTTGTCCCCCAAGAACCCACATCAAGAAAAATCATGTTTATCTCAGCCTTATGGCTACAACTATGAATGTTGGGTCTTGGACGCTAAGAATAACTTTAAGCGAGAAGAGAGTTTTACGAGCGAAGGTTACCGCACCGAAAAAATAAGGTCCCGTGTTCCCCTTTTTTTTTTTTTTTTTTTTTTTTTATTACTACTTTTCATCGTATTTTATTTTATTCTGTCGTCCCCTTTTTTTTCCTTTAAGGCCCCTCCCCATCAAACAAATTAAACAAACAACACGACTTGCTAAAAGGATCCATAAAGCAGGTTTTTTTTTTGTCTGACTGTGTAATTTTAATACACCGAGAGTTAACAAGCATCATCATTATACACCGACAATACATCGGGCATGGATTATTCTTTTCTTTTTTTTTTTTTTTTTTTTTTAATAACTACAGTATTATTATTTATTATCATACTCTAAAACTTTTTTTTGTTTACTTTTTTAAACTCACAATATAAATAATAAGAATAAATCAACGTCAACTTGAAAAATAATTATAATCTACATCATTCTAATAGCAACGCTTCTCCATTGAGTAATCATCAATCTACTCTTGCTTTCTTGTATAAATAGAATCAATACAAATAATCACTATAAAAAGTATATAAACTTTCTTTTTATATTAAAACCGGTTTGAAAATGCAGCCTAAACATATCTGTATAGAATAAACTATATTTATTTTGAAATACCGAAAAAAAAAAAAAAGCCATCATTTACATGCTCATCATCTTCCTATCATCCAATTAGTATAAATGATATATTTCATCTTTGTAGAGAAAAAAAAAGATACACGAGCTTTATTAATAATATATTTATTATACTATTATCTAATAATTTGTTGTGACTCTTCAATATATCATTTTTTTTTTTTTTTTTTTTCCTTTCATTCAAAAACAAGTCTAATCCAAAAAAATCTTTTTATATATGCTTTATTTAAAATAAATCAACAACGTTCTTTTTCTATTATAATACATGTAAATGTCCGACCTTTTACATATTTCCCCCACTTTTTTGTTATTTGAATAATGATCACACATATTATAAAATTATATTCAAAGTCACGCTTATTTGAGCAAAAATTTATAAAACGTCTAAAATTCGAGTCTTTCCCTTTAATTTTTTTTTCAACACCGAAAATTTTCTTTACTTCTTTTAGAAGAGAACACGGGCTTTCGTCACTTTAGCTATTATTTTTTCTTCACCTTTTTTCTCTAGACAATACTGTCTTCGTCTTCTTTACCAGGCAGAACTAGTCGAGACAGTGGAAACATTCACACGCCAATAACAGACACTTCGAACGAGACTTGTAAAATAATAATTATAATATATATACATATATATATAAAATGTATTTAACCACCACACTCGCCTCCTTACCTTCGGCTTCATCAAATTTCTCTTCGCTGCAAACCATAAATCTACAGAGAAAACCATTACCGCCAATACCACAACGTCAACAGCCGTTACCTCAGTTTAACAATCTACAGCAACGAAGAGATCAATTTTCCTTGTCCTCCTCGAGACAGGAAAAGTCAACGACGATGCAACATCAATTCTATTCTTCACAACAGTCGCATCAATCAAGTAGTAAAACAACCTCTTCTTCGACGATAATACAAGACATTTCGTTGTTTGAACGGGTACCTTTGGAACGCGTGTCGGATTTTGCTTCTCATATGACTTGCTTCCTGTGGTTCGGTGATTATATGATGGATCCGCATTCGTCGTCTTCATCGATAATAGTACCACCCCCCGGCGGGAATGGTCATGGGAGATTTGCTGATTATAAACCGAGAGATGCGTTCAAGAAATTTTGTCGTGATGTAATTTCGGCGACACAGGTCTCGCATTCGGTAATTCTCCTGTCCTTACTTTACATCCACAGGATGAAGATAAACAATCCCACCATCAAGGGTCAGAATGGTTCGGAATACAGGACGTTCACAGTCGCTCTCATGTTGTCCAACAAATTTTTGGATGATAATACCTACACAAACAAGACTTGGTCAGAAGTCACAAACATTCCCGTTTCAGAGATAAACACCATGGAAATGGAGTTTCTGAGCTCATTGAATTATCAATTGTACGTATCCGAGCAACAATTCTTCGATTGGGTTCGAAACATGATAACTTTTGTTTCGATTGGCGATGATCGTCGCAACAATGATGATTCCGCCCCCGATTGCTCAATGAATATTTCCCAACGATCGCAATACTCGCAGAAGCAGCAACAGATCCTTGTTCCCGTTCAATCAATGTCAACCGGATTCAAGAGGTCAGCCGAACAAGCTTTTGTGGATGGAATGATGGTGTCGCCACCGAAGAGAACAAATTGTTATCCGACTTATCAACAACCACAACTAGTGGTTCAACCACAGCCTCAACAGGTGTACGCTCAAACGTTTGCCTACCCCACGCCACCACCAAGCACCTCGAGTTCACAGCAACTTGCCTATTACAATTTGCAGACCACTGGCTCCTCGAATAACAGTGGCACTTCGATGTTCGGTCAACAACCACCACCCTTACCATCATCCTATGAACTTAGACAAAACTACACTTTAGATCCGATGAATGTATTCTATGCAACGAGGCGTAACTTCATCAATGCTCGATCAGCCTCGTCGGCATTTCCAATTAGTAACATGTCGTTCACGACGACGGTGGTGTAATGAAAATTTGGACCGACATCTTTTTTTTCTTTTAAAAGAAAAATTCCACATCATATAGCAATAATAAAGACTCTCAATTTGTAAAGGCGTTTATTTGATAGCGCAAATTTCATTTGTTTTCACACTTTCTTTGTACAGATTTTTTTTTTTTTTTCCTCTAGACATCTTTCTTTGCATTTGTACTGTAATTTTAGCATTATTCTCCAATTACCCTTTTCTTTTTTTTTTTTTTTTTTTCCTCCACAGCAAAATACATACAACATACATATCACATAAATTCTCAAAATTAGAATAGTACATTGCAGTATCTGGACTTATTTTCCGATTAGTAAAAGTACTTTTTTTTTCTGTGTCTTTTTTTTTTTTTTTTTGTCTTTTCTCGCACTACGTTTCTTTTTTCTCTCTTAAGCTTTTTCGCGCAAGATGAATGAATTCATTCTGCCAATTAAGATTTTTCCCTATAAAAACAAGTTTAAAAAATCAAAAAATTAAAATTAATAAACATGAATCGAGAACCAAAAATCTCAATTTGAGAAAAGCTAAATCCATGAGTTTGTCCAGTGATCATTTTCTAATGAGGGAAAGGAGGGGATAATGGAATTTGCTTGTTTTTGTTTTGAGCATGCGTGATCGTTACATGTCGCCTTTCGTGAGAGGAAATTGTTGACGCGCGAATTGGCAGATTGGAAAAATTAAGGTAGATGTGTGGTGTCTATGAGGTGCATCTATGATCTCTGATTAGAATGTTGGGAAACTTGATTGGTGTGGGTAATCAGACTATCAATGATTGAATTTTCGCATACATGGTTTTTTTTATTGAAAATTCTTTATTTTTTTTTTTGCTCACGATCTTTTCTGCGTTCCATCGAGAAGGCACTTGGAACGCGTGAGAGTGCAGGAATGCAATATGTATTATAAATATGTGTGTACGTACGTATTTCAATATCATTCATGTATGCTGGTAGTGCGTATGTATTGCATCGATATCTCACCGCGACAAACGAGACCAATGGACAAACCAATCGTTTATCGCTTTCATCGTGAAACCATTTATTTAGCAGCAGCATTAATCGTTCCTGTTAGATGGAGTCATCGTTGGCACTTCCTGGGTTTTTTGAACGAATGAGAATTTCGTGGGTGAGGGGAAAAGCCGGTTTTTGGAAAATTCGAGTTTCCAAAACATCGATTTTCCCAACCACACACATTCTTTATTCTCTCGTCTTTTGTGTTTTGTTCAGTGTCGATCTCATAAATGAGATTCATTATAATATGTACATATTATTATTTTATTATTATTATAGTGGTCCGTTACTTTAATGGAGAAAATTTGCTTTTCCGAGTAAGGTGATTCTCACCAACAAAATACCTCCCTATCCGCAGTCAATTTGCCCGCGTTTTTTTTTTCCTTTAACACTAAGCCACCATGCCTCTTTTGTTGATCTCACAATGTGTCGGTCGGTCGACCATTCCATTCTATCAGGTAGGTAAAATAATAATTGAGTGTCAATACTGGTGAGACACTATATTCCAATCAGCGAACCCCTTTAAAGATAATTTATATATACATGCATACATAAGTATCCAGGTCATCTCCGAGTTACGATGCATTATCATTATTTTCTATTTATGCATCACCTGTACTTTCTCCTCTAAAAGAGGAACAACGAGTTAGTGGATAAAAAGGCTTTCTCCTTCAGTTTGCATATATATACGACAAAATATATACATACACAAACATAATTTGTATCAAGAAATATCGTATTATCTCCATCTATTATTATTATTATTATTATTTTATTTTTATTTTTATTATTATTATTATTATTACTGACAACAAAGTAAAAGGTGTGAAACTGTTATTGAAATTTTTTTATCGATTTAGTACCAGAAACAAGATTGCGCCCTTTGTTACACTCATTCTGCGATTCACGGTTGTTCCGGAGATTGAATTTTCGTTCGTGACCCAAAATAAAAAACCGTCTCCCGAATGAGAAATGTCTTATTTAAATTGTTCCTGAATGTTTGTGGCAAAGCTTCAACGTTTAAATACCTGATCCTAAATAAGTCAATCAGATATGCGTGATAAGGGTTGATGGTGTGTGTGACATATGCGAATACGTATTTATGCGCGTGGCGCATTGCAAGATTTGGGAAAATGGTAATAATATCATCAAAGATTTTGGTTGCTCGGTCGGAATAAGTATAAAGCATTCAATCACTTCCTGATTACCACAATGGTACACGTGTGACCGGATCATTCAGCTACTGACACTCCTCGGTCTTTCTCTTGAACCTCTACTCTACTCGCAATTTGCACAATTGTGGTGTTCATGTGCGTGCGCCTAAAAACCGGCCACCTTATAAAACACCTGACCACGTATGTGGCTTCGCGTTGATTACATCAGCAACGAGCTTTCTTGTCATACCTGTCATCATGCTGTGAATTTTCAACAGCGCCAGTCGGTGTGAAGATTGATACAAATATGGCAAGCATGATTATAAATGTTTTGCCTTTTTGATGAATAATCTTCCCAATTCGGAAGTCGCTCCCGCTCTTCCTTTCATGCCAACTTGTTTCCCCTGACTAGTGTTTATTTAGTACCAAAAAGTAATTGGTTTTTGTCAATTTTTTGTGTACCAAAGGGCGCAAAAAAAAAGAGAAATATGGCATGTAAACAGAAGAAAAAGTAAACATGACGTACGTGATTGCGTATTTCGGGAATCTTGTCCCAAAAACAATTAGGAGCACGAGATTTTCATCTATCCGAAAAAAAGGATTACCTTCCATTTCGGTTCTCCCACGATTTTCCCAATCAAGCCACTCCCAACGGCTTGATCATCGTTGTCGTCGATCGTAAAGAAAACTGAACAAAAAAAATTACAAATATCCTTTAAATATTTCCCAATGTTCATTCCTATTTTGACAAGGAGTTCTGCGAGAAGGGAAGGAAGACTTGGTCATATCACGATATCACCGCTTCTAGAAAGAAAGTTTGCTAGCTTAAAGAAAGCTAATGACTTGGCATACTTGGCAATTCAATCTATCGCTAATGAGATTTCGCCAGAGGCTTAGTGTCGCATCGTAAACTGCTTTTTTTTTTTTAATCATTTCATCTATGTAAGGCGTTGTTGATCTTCTCTCGCCAGGCGTGCGCGTATTAGCATGTGTTGCGTGTTAACCTCGCTTGCTCAAAATAATAATAATAATTGCATCACAGGATTCACTGATCAGATATAACGGCGTTCCTTGGTGATTGTTTACTTTTTCACAAGCATTCTTCTTTTGATTAAAATATCTGTTATTATTATTATCTTTTGCACACGGCACCGCATTCTCTGCATCCCACAAAAGGTAATCTTTTTTGAAAAAACATTCATTCTACGTACGTACATACATACATACATACAACACAACAACAAAAACCACAAAAATTAGCCCCGTTTCAATATAATTCGTCACGTTATTCACTATCCATCCATCCATCTATTCTCTCACTCCCGCCGATCTGATTATCTTATTGCAAACACGAGGTCATGCCACGAGATCACCTTTGTTTTTTCTGATGATACAACATCTTTCAAATGCACGTGATAATTATTTGTCACCGACATTAACATGTGACATTTTGACCAAATTAATCGCCCGCTAGCCATATTCGTGAGAAGCCTGTTCTCCATTCCAAGTAAAACAGGGAAGAAGGATTACATGTTTATGATTTTTCCTGATGATTGTGCAACCATACGGGATGTCGGCACACCCCCAAGGTACTTTTTTCTACCCTGCGAGAAAAAAATAATAATAATAGTAATAACATACATAGCCCTTAAGAAGAACCTTAAATTCGAATAAGCCTACCTTTCACGGTATTAAATTATGCGAGTTGCATGATTCGCAAATTATTTATTATTGTCGCTCAAAATGACTTCGTCTTCCGGTTGACCAACAGGTCTCCCATAAAGTTTTTGCTCCTTGTTCGGGAATTGTGTGTGATACCCCTGCGAAATCAGCACAATATCAACATGCGAAATCTTTGTCACCATACATGAACTTCCGGAATTCCGGGGAATCCCTAACGTTACATTGGTCAACTCTAAAGGTGACGATCTTTTAACACCTGTACAGTCGATTTGTATGGTCATCTGGCACCTTTTTAAAAGTTTTCAGACGACGGTTCAATCATTTCGTCACACGGTTGGGAATTTTTTTTCCATAGTTCTAAAAACGGGAATAATTTTGATTAACATGTCCCTCCAATTCAAGTCTCTTTGGCATGACAAAGTCACCTACCTAGTTAAACTCGTTTTACAACAGGTATCGTCATCGGCTTTTGACAACAATCCACCGTTGTTCAAGGAGGACGCGATTTTGCATTTACGCACAATGAATGAATGAATGAATGAATGAATCCATCCATCCATCCATAATCAATCAATCATCATCATCGTCATTAATCACCCTGTAATTTCTTGGGCACGTTACCATCGCGGATCACCATTATCAAGGTTTCACGATAAAGTTTGAACGTTCGGTACGCAACGGGACTGGCGCACCGGGAAGCCCGTGAAGGCTTACCTGACCATCGTTCATAGTCATCATACTGTTTGTTGGAATCACACAATTGTTCATTCTTTTTCCCTATATTTAGGTTATGCGACCGACCGATGCGATGATTGAGTCAACTCATTTTTTGATCTTTTTTCTTTTTTTCGACAAATGTAAAAAAAAAAAACTAGAAAAAAATTTTTTTTAAGGATTTCCATGTGAATTTCATTTCTACGAATTGTGTGTGGTTAAGATTTGTATCATTGAGGATGTCGAGAACATGGCGGACCCATCGGCTTGGATGACCTGTTCCGCCACGGCAGGTAACAAAACCGATGGCTGGCTGGCTGGCTGGCTGACTGGCAAATTAAAGTTTAGCCCTTCATTCTGTGATCCAATTGTCGTAAAATGGCTATGCATTCAGTCTAATCCAATTCAATCCTGGGAGGATGACGGTTCGTTTCAGAAAGTGGCTAGAACACGTTTTCGCAATGGGAATCGCGAGTACCTAAAGCGCCCAACGGTCATCACCTTCCCGGTTGGGGGAGTCGGTTCTGTCACATATCAGCGGTAGCACCTTTGAGATAAGGTCTGGCTGACCAGTCACGGCAATCGACGCTACCCTTATAAAGAATTGAGATGATGTTCGCTTGATGTCACATTCACGAGGCGACGTGTCGTTATCAAGAGGGAAAAAAAAAAAAGGAATGCGCTATTATCAATCAATCAAAATCAATCAGTCGGGTGATTGCAAAAAAAAAAAAAATTAGATCTTCCTTATTATCGACTGCGCATATAGGGTTTGAGGCACAACTTACTTTTTTCGCCTGTTTAGCACGTTATTTACTTCCCCGAATAGGAAATTGAGAGACGTGGGGAAATTATATTAAAATGTTGATTTACATTCCAACTTCACTTTAAGGTGTACCCATTCTCCATTGACCGACTATTTAGAGTTATTACTATTATTATTTTCATTGTGTACAATGTTTTTTTTGATGTTGTTGGTCAACTGCTCAGACCTTCATCTGATTTCTAATATATTTGGTGAGATATCCACAACAATCTTCTATTATTCTACGTACAAGTGCAACATTTTTTTTTTTTTTTTTTGACGTTACTCTTACTGTAAATTAACGGGTAGGATGAGGGCAGTGTAATTTTTTGGCGGAATTCAAATCCGTCATTATTTACTTGTTTATTTGTTTTTCATGCCGTGGAGTTAAATGGCGAACGACCTTTCGGAGAAGAAAAAAAAGATGCTTGACACCTTGCGATGATAATGCTGATGATGATAATTATGATGATAGTACACTCCTGTCAAGTCTGAGGCTTAGGATTACAAAAAAAAATCATTACTAAATTTACCGAATTATCCTCCTTTCTCAGAAACATCAAATATTGGGTCAAGTTAACAAAAAAAAAAAAAACTTGATTGACAGTTGTTCAAAATCAACCGTTGGTCACATTTATTTTTGGCTAACCCCTATTTTTTACAACATGGTAGGCAGGCGTTCATCCTTCACGATATGCGCATTGTCTATTTTCGGGCACGATGATGTCACACGCATAACTGAGATCGTGAGAACGGGTGGAGGATAAGGGATAAGGAATGTGATGTTGATTTCGAGAATTTACCTGAATACAGTGATGAAGACACATACGCTGAACGGTTATGAGGCGGCGGCGTCGGCAGCAGCAGCAGCAACAACAGCATACGGTCAATTGAATTGAGACACATTTATGGTTGCATGAACTTTTGCTGAAGTGCAGATCTGACTCAGAGTTCGGTGTAACATTCGCCAGCTGGTAGACGTTACACTCGATGGTTTTAATAGGTGGCTTCCATAAGCCTTCGCGGTGATTGCACGAGCGTCACACCATTCACCAACAATCCAATCCAAAGAACCCACAAATGTATGAGGTCATAGGCCATAAAAGAACCTTTTAATAGAAAAGGGAAGTGAACGTGGGTGACATCGAAGGATCTGAATAAGCGCACGATAACCGGATCTCGTGACCTTATCATTGTTCCACCGTTATGTGTTCTCAGAATAACGAAGACGCATGTGTCGGCTACATTGCGCATTTATTTGTGTTCGGTATACGAAATTTCCATGATGATTTCATGATTTCCTTGAAATCGATAAAAGAATATCGAAAGGAAAAAGAGACAATTGATTTCCATATATGTTGAATATGTGTTTATAATGACGACCCATTTGAAATTTAAGTTTTTCCTTCCGAGGGCATGATATGTCTGGATGGATTTAGGAATGGGCGTAAGTGTGTTCTGCGTCCTTTGGGTGTGCCATTTTAGTCATGATTTTTGAGTGGGTTGAGTCGAGATCTTAGGAAGAAAATAGGTTTTTTCTTTTTTTCATTCTAATTGCATGTCTGCACGTCAAAAAAAAGATGCACTAAATTATTACCACAATAACGTTTCACATCTTTCATTATTCTTTCATTACCTTTTAACTTAACTAGTTCGCCACAAGACCTTTTCAAGCCATCAATCGAAACGTTTAATAAAAAAACGCCATCATATCTCCATTTGAAAATGAAAGGGTGAACCTCTTACCCCTCTCACCTTGTCATTCGGTGACTGTGAGAATATTTTTACATTTAATCCGTGAAATTAAAACTGGCGCATGTAACCAATATGCGTGTGCGTTGTGTTTTTTTTTTTTTTTTTGTTTTCTAATTTGACCAAAAATTCTTCAACGACAAATAATGGGGGAAATCTTTACGGTCGGATTGACGAATGCGGTTGTGCCTTCTTCCCTAAAGAAACTCCCTTTGCACATGATGTACAAAACAAGCAACATGTATATATGATAAAATCGCCTTCCCCATGTTTTATTTACTCGCACAAATTCGGTTACGATGGTTCATGTCATTCATTGGCTACGTTAGCAATTTAATGCCTCTCTCCCTTTAGACTGATCTGCGCAATGAATTCTTTCTGTTGAACATCAGCACAAGAAATGTTGTTGCACGGCAAGCGGTGGTCGTTAACAAATCATCGGCGGAGCACCTATACGACATCCTCATGACACGAAGCTCAAATTTGTACGCGTCTTCCCGATAACGAATTATGTCAGATACGAAGCTGCCCTTGACCATTTGTAATTCTATTCACCCTTGTGTTTACATGCCATTAAAAACCTTATTACCGATATGTTTGGTTAAATCATTCATCATTAATACGAAAACTTCGGGATATTGTCAATCTACATTGTCCCTGCATTCGTTCATTCAAAGTCGACAAACTATATGTACGTCATGTGTTTACCAATAAACATTCAATATGCTTGCAATCTACGATTTCCTTTGGAATTATCAGACAGAGAGAACGCCCAATCCTTTCGAAGAAAAAAAATGTGCATATTTTTTTTTTTGTAAAAAAAAAATAATAATAAATACTTGATCTGAATCTTGATTTAAAGTTTTTTTTTTTTTTTTTTTTTGTTTTGAATTCATTAATACGTGGGTAGTATGCGAGCAAGCACCTAGATACTTGAACCATCATCATCC